CACACACACACACACTCAGCTCTTACTCAGTACGTGTGTTTTGTTTTTAACTAGACATTGTTCACAGAAGGATTCTTCACCTGATCTTTCTGCATGAGGACGTCTCTCTTCAGTACTTTATTCCAGCGGTGGCGTGACATCAAACACTCACATTCTCCATCTAAACTAAATCAGGCATTCCGTTCATATGCAGAATATCTAAACAAGTATTTCAAATGGTCAGTTGTTGGACTCTTGTTATTAAAAAAAACTACTTTGTGTTTGCTGGTTCTTATGTAAATGTGTATATATACACAGAATATGAATAAAAGACTTGTTTGTTAATAGTATAGTTTATTTGGACCTTTTATTTTGCCCACCAGCAACGTTTTCAATGTTAGTATATAGAAAATCACAAAAATGTGTTCCTAATTATGTTCCCGCTGTGAAAACTCTGTACATTTATCAAGCCGAAGAACTCTTCCTCATGTGAAGGTGAAGCTCTCTTGATAAGCAGGCTGTGTTCTGAATCCCAGTAAAAGGCTAGTCAAGTTCAGCGGTGGGAGAGGAGAGAACAAACAAGGAGTTCTGTAACTGACTGCAGCAATCAATTGTGACTGACCCCTCGCCTTCGGACCCCCCGAGACCCCCCTCGCTACAGACACAGCGGTGCCGACGACGGTGACCTGCGCTCACGCTGCCTTTCTCTACTTTAATGTGTTTATATGTGTTATTATAACGACAAAACGATCTCATATAACTACAACTCTCAACAAAGCCGTTATTTTGATCGTTTATGACGTTTCTGTGATTCAAAGCGGTGCATGATGGGAAACGTCTGGATCTGTCACCTCATTGGATGGATGCCCCGCACGGAAATGACTGAAACTATTTTAGATTTACAGCCTCAGCTTAAAGTTAGTATCTGCTAGATCTTCATTTATTGAGGCGCTTCGCTGCTAAATTCCCTTCTTACCGCCACAGCAAATAAAATATGTATATTTCATACAAAATAATTCATAACGAGCTGAGAAAACACTTCTGATCTCATAATGAAGCATGCATCATTTAAATTAAACTGAATGAACGAATCATAATTATTAATAAGTGATTAAATATTGAAGTATTTAATTATTTACATGATTTTGCTTCCCAATGTTTCTTTGTGTACCCAAGGAACAGTACAGTGGCAGTATCAGGTAGAATACCCTAGTATTTTGATATGTACCACAGTACTGAATGATTACCATGTCCTACTGTGGTATTTACATGTTAAACAGAGTATGGTGTATTTGATGTTCGACAGCAGCAGGTGTCGCTGTTTCACACACGAGCTGAAAGATGAACAACATGCTGCTCAATGTTCAGAGTCTCATGATTCTTACATAATCAGCACACACACACACACACACACACACAATAATAAGAGTTACTCTCTCACACACACACACTCTCTCTCTCTCTCTCTCTCTCTCTCTCTCTCTCTCTCTCTCTCTCTCTCTCTCTCTCTCTCTCTCTCTCTCTCTCTCTCTCTCTCTCTCTCTCTCTCTCTCTCTCTCTCTCTCTCTCTCTCTCTCTCTCTCTCTCTCTCTCTCTCTCTCTCTCTCTCTCTCTCTCTCTCTCTCTCTCTCTCTCTCTCTCTCTCTCTCTCTCTCTCTCTCTCTCTCTCTCTCTCTCTCTCTCTCTCTCTCTCTCTCTCTCTCTCTCTCTCTCTCTCTCTCTCTCTCTCTCTCTCTCTCTCTCTCTCTCTCTCTCTCTCTCTCTCTCTCTCTCTCTCTCTCTCTCTCTCTCTCTCTCTCTCTCTCTCTCTCTCTCTCTCTCTCTCTCTCTCTCTCTCTCTCTCTCTCTCTCTCTCTCTCTCTCTCTCTCTCTCTCTCTCTCTCTCTCTCTCTCTCTCTCTCTCTCTCTCTCTCTCTCTCTCTCTCTCTCTCTCTCTCTCTCTCTCTCTCTCTCTCTCTCTCTCTCTCTCTCTCTCTCTCTCTCTCTCTCTCTCTCTCTCTCTCTCTCTCTCTCTCTCTCTCTCTCTCTCTCTCTCTCTCTCTCTCTCTCTCTCTCTCTCTCTCTCTCTCTCTCTCTCTCTCTCTCTCTCTCTCTCTCTCTCTCTCTCTCTCTCTCTCTCTCTCTCTCTCTCTCTCTCTCTCTCTCTCTCTCTCTCTCTCTCTCTCTCTCTCTCTCTCTCTCTCTCTCTCTCTCTCTCTCTCTCTCTCTCTCTCTCTCTCTCTCTCTCTCTCTCTCTCTCTCTCTCTCTCTCTCTCTCTCTCTCTCTCTCTCTCTCTCTCTCTCTCTCTCTCTCTCTCTCTCTCTCACACACACACACACACACACACACACACACACACAATAATAAGAGTTACTGACACACACACACACACATACAATAATGAGTTACTGACACACACACATACAATAATGAGAGTTACTAACACACACACACACACTTCATATTTCTCTGTTATTACGTTTATTTCTTTATTTTTCATTTCTGCAGGTTTGGTCCTCCATACGCTGTGACGCGCTTATATAACGGCCAAAAATGCTAACTATGTTTTTCTGTGTTTTGTCACATTGTGGACATTATTATTATACAGTATGTGTATGTATGTGAGTCCCCCCCCCCCCACCCCTCGGGGGTGCGCTGTTCACTAGTGAGGGGCTGGAGCTTGTGTTCACTAGTGAGGGGATCAAAACTGCGGCGAGGATGGATGCTCCGTGCTCGCGCTGCGGGAAAACCGTCTATCCCACGGAGAAAATCAGCTGCCTCGACAAGGTGCGAGTTTATTTACCTCAGATTCACAGCGACAGCAGCTTTATCTGTTTGTCTCAGCGATGTGTGGGAATCAGACTTTACTGTGTGACGCTTATTATCTGTTTTGATGCTCGTGTCTTACATAATCAACATCTCACAGTCATGAGTGACATTATCAGTAACTGTTCCGTTCAATCGGTCAAATCTGTCAAATTCACACGTAAACTCACAAATCTCAACAATATTAACAAATATAAACAGGACAATCCTTTCAGAAAGTAGCATGAGTTGTCTTCGGCACATTATCGCAGTAATACCATAGTATTGTTTGAAGCTGCTTGTAAATATTACAGTATTTAAATGTGATCCCAAAACCATTCATAAGGGATTGAAATTGAGATTTATGTATCATGCTGAATAAATAATCTTTCCATTGATGTATGGTTTGTTAGGATAGGACAATATTTGGCTGAGATACAACTATTTGAAAATCTGGAATCTGAGGGTGCAAAAAAATCTAAATATTGAGAAAATCATCTTTAAAGTTGTTCAAATGAAGTTCTTAGCAATGCATATTACTAATCAAAAATTAAGTTCTGATATATTTACGGTAGAACATTTACTAAATATCTTCATGGAACATGATCTTTACTTAATATCCTAATGATTTTTGGCATAAAAGAAAAATGTATAATTTTGGCCCATACAATGTATTGTTGGCTATTGCTGCAAATATCCCCCAGCGACTTAAGACTGCTTTTGTGCTGCAGAGTCACATATGTGACAAACATCCAGGACTGTGTAACTGTCAGGGTATACCGCGGTTTTACCGTCTGACAGCATCAGTGAAACACGGTGTGCCATTATTATCGATCTCTTCAGACTCATCAGTGAATCACACACACGTTCAGACTGGACAGTGTGTTTAATCTGCACGATTCACTTGTGTTATCATTGTGGCATTATTAATTGCTCAGAATCTGCAGTAATGTTGTGATGTCCTGCGGTTTTTCAGAACTGGCACAAAGGCTGTTTCCACTGTGAAGTGTGTAAGATGACGCTCAACATGAAGAACTACAAAGGCTACGACAAGAAACCCTACTGTAACGCGTGAGTGTGTTTCACACAAGTGATGAAGGACGGTGTGAGGAGGAGGAGGATTCAGAAACGATTTGAGTGTTAACACCCGTTCACAACCAAGAACCATAACTATGATAACTATATCAATAACTATAGCTATAATGAAAACTATAACTACAGTAGCTATGTTTCCATCCATAGCAGCATCCGCCTCCGAAAGCAATGACCGCATTTATTGTGTTTCGTCAGCTCGCAAGTAATTTATTACATATGGAAATTATATGGCTATATTCCAGTTTTGTGCGCAAGTTAAATTCGCAACTTTGGATGGAAACCCAGCTAGTGATAACCATAACTAGAATGTGAATCATAACAGTAACTGCAATAAAACACCCCTTACAATAATTATAACGGTAATGGTAAACATAACGGTAACTATAGCAATAACGATAACTGTAACCATAACTATTGCAATAACTGTATAATGATGACTGTAACACAAGTATGAATGCAATGATACTGATAGCTATAACTATAATGGTTAGTGAAACTAAAATGAAAACTCTTAATGCTAACTATAACATTAACTGTAGCTATAACCGTAATTATATTGATGTATATAATAGTAACTACAGCGATAACTATAATGATAGCAATAACACGATAGCAATATAATGCGTGTAACATTAACTGTAATGATTACTAACTGTATTAGCATCCACACCAGCGGACGATAACGTTCTGTTTATTATAAACGCTGCAACTTTGTTGTCTGTAGCTTTAAATGCTCAAGCTCTTACAGCAGGAGGGATTCTGATTGGCTGTCAATCAGCTGGACAAAATACGTTCTTAAAGTGATTCCAGCGATATCTTTCCTCTGTGTCGTGATCGTTATAGCTGTGGTGTTATCTTAGAGTTTATGGGATCTTCTCGGCGGTTAAAGCTGATGGAGTCGTCTCAGTTTCTCTGGCTGTTTGTTTTGTGTAGCCGGTGGCTTTCACAGGTAACTCTCCTCCATCTGTTTTGAGTTCTCATCAAAGCGCACATCCCAGTGTGTTTGTTATCCTGCACTGAGCCTTTATGAGACGCAGAGAGAAATGAAAGGAGTGCTGTGGAGTCTGGAGAAACGCTGCTGTTTCATCAAGAACTTTCAGAGGAAGTCTCTCACACACACACACACTCACACTCTCTCTCACACACACACTCACACTCTCTCACACACACACAGTTATCAGAACCTGTTTAACTGTGTGGTTGGTGCGACTGAGTCGTGTGTTCATTAGGAGTCAGGTCACATGACTGAGGGTTCATTGAGTGACTGTGTTGTAAATGTTGGCACAGTAGCATGGCATTTTCTTTATTTGCTGTTGATTGTTTTTAAATGTAAGTTTGTGGTGACCTTTTGTACATTGTTGCTTGATCTCATTACTTTGTGTGACATTTGTGAAACAGACGTTTGGTGACTCTCATGATTGAAGAACCGCTGCTAAATGTCTGACAATTATAAGCAAATGTTGAATTCTATCTACTTAAACTCACGCTGGCTTTGAGAAACGCAGCCCTGCTCCACCTTCCACCCCGTCAGATTCCTGCATAATCCCAGAAGATGAAAGTGAAGAAATGAAGCATCTCGTGAACGTCCTGGAGCTCCTCCAGCAGTGTTGTTGTTCAGTTTTACGCTTATTTTCTCACTGAATGATTAGGTCGTTATTCAGGTCGGTGAGAGCAGCAGCTCAGTTCTGCCCATCAGCAGTATTTCTAGAGTGTGTTTATCTAGCAACCATATAGCAACTCCCTGACAACCTCCCACAACACCCTAGCAACTGCATAGCAACACTCAGGCAGCCACCTAAAGCACCTTAGCAACTGCATACTTTGTGTTCAGATGTTTGTTTGTGTTCAGATGTTTGTTTGTTTGTCTGTGTTCAGATGTTTGTTCAAATGTTTGTTTGTCTGTGTCACCTTAGCAACTGCATACTTTGTGTTCAGATGTTTGTTTGTGTTCAGATGTTTGTTTGTTTGTCTGTGTTCAGATGTTTGTTCAAATGTTTGTTTGTCTGTGTTCAAATGTTTGTTTGTTTGTCTGTTCAGATGTTTGTTTGTTTGTCTGTGTTCAGATGTTTGTGTTCAAATGTTTGTTTGTTTGTCTGTTCAGATGTTTGTTTGTTTGTCTGTTCAGATGTTTGTGTTCAGATGTTTGTTTGTTTGTCTGTTCAGATGTTTGTGTTCTGATGTTCTCAGATGGAGCTGAAATGCATCTGAGGCTCATTAATACAGCAGCAGCATTTCTCTTTCATCTTTATATAATGCAGCTCATATCACACAAGTGCTGAATTATATAATGACACATCATCAAACACATCGCTGTATGTATATTTGTGTGTGTGTGTGTGTGTGTGTGTGCTGGTCAGTGTGTGTGTGTGTGTGTGTGTGTGTGTGTCTGTATGTATATTTGTGTGTGTGTGTGTGTGTGTGTGCTGGTCAGTGTGAATGTGGGCCAAACGCTTGCCCTCGGGTGAAACACCCACACTCACCCCACGCTCACGCTCTGAAACCACAGAGAGACGACAGAGACATGATAGAGAGGCGATATGTGTGTGTGTGTGTGTGTGTGTGTGTGTGTGTGTGTGCGTGCTGATGCACCTACTCAGGTTAGTGTGCGGGCTGATCCAAGCGCTTTAGGCGTCCAGATTTCCTCGCAGCCTCAGTTGAGCTGAGCTTCATCTCTGCACTCGTTTGTGTTTAATCATCACAGCACAGAGAAATGCAGTTTATAAACACCACTGTTATCAGATACAGTGCATGTGATTCAGTGTTTGTCTCCAGAAGCAGCATCAGAACATAAGTCAGATGTTTCCTCAGTGTTTCAGCTCCAGCAGGATGTTCAGAGCCGCTCTTTGAAAAGGTTGAATCGTATATTTAAACACTGACGTCTGTGTTTATTATAAACCTCCTGATGAGTGAGGTTTGTAAACCTCGTCTGATTCAGGACAGATCATATTTGATATGATAGCATATACAGGTATGAGCAGGAGGTGGGATGTTTTGTTTTGTTTCTTTATGAACTGATTCTTCTAGACGATCAGCAGCTGTGTCTGTCAGAGGATTCAGTCCTGGACCGACTGTGAGTTTATGAAACAGCAGCTCTTCATGTGTATCCTGAGAAGAGTTTCACTTGTTCAGACGTTTACGTTTAATCATTTAGCAGACGCTTTTATCGAAAGCGACTTACAAATGAGAACAATAGAAGCAATCAGACCAACGAGAGAACAACAACAGTATACAAGTACCATGACAAGTCTCAGTTAGTCTAGCACAGTACATGTAGCTTGGGTGTTTTTTTTTGTTTTTTTGTTTTTTTATAATAGAATGGAATAGAACAGAACAGAATAGAATAGGTAAGTGCTAGTATTAGTTGGTCAGGTGCTGGCGAAAAAGATGTGTCTTTAGTTGTTTTTTGAAAATGGCTAAAGACTGAGCTGCTGGGATTGAGATCGGCAGGTTGTTCCAGCAGCTGGGGACAGTCCAGAAAAAGGTCCGTAAGAGTGATTTTGTGCCTCTTTGGGATGAACCACGAGGCGTCGTTCACTTGCAGAACACAAGCTTCTGGAGGGCGTGTAGGTCTGAACTAGCGAGTTTAGGTATATCGGTGCAGCACCAGTGGTTGTCTTGTAGGCAAGCACCAGTACCTTGAATTTGATGCGAGCGGCTACTGGAAGCCAGTGTAACCTGATGAGGGGAGGAGTAACGTGAGCTTTTTTTGGCTCATTGAAGACCACTCTCGCTGCTGCATTCTGGATCAGTTGCAGAGGCTTGATAGTGCATGCTTAGTCAGAGACCTACCCATAGCCGCGGGAACATATTTTATCTGGGGGGGCGGGGCTTGATGTTGAAGGGCGGGGCCGCGGTGGGGGATTTTACATTTACATTACGTTTACGTTTAATCATTTAGCAGACGCTTTTATCGAAAGCGACTTACAAATGAGAACAATAGAAGCAATCAGACCAACGAGAGAACAACAACAGTATACAAGTACCATGACAAGTCTCAGTTAGTCTAGCACAGTACATGTAGCTTGGGTGTTTTTTTTTGTTTTTTTTTTTTTTTTATAATAGAATGGAATAGAACAGAACAGAATAGAATAAGTAAGTGCTAGTATTAGTTGGTCAGGTGCTAGCGAAAAAGATGTGTCTTTAGAAGTTTTTTGAAAATGGCTAAAGACTTATTTGAGACGAATTGAGATCGGGAGGTCATTCCACCAGCTGGGCACAGTCCAGGAAAATGTCCGTGAGAGTGATTTTGAGCCTCTTTGGGATAGCACCACAAGGCGCCGTTCACTTGTAGAACGTAAGCTTCTGGAGGGCGCATAAGTTTGAACTAGCGAGTTTAGGTATATTGGTGCAGCACCAGTGGTTGTCTTGTAGGCAAGCATCAGTGCCTTGAATTTGATGCGAGCAGCCACTGGCAGCCAGTGCAAGCTGATGAAGAGAGGATGTGTGAGTGTGTGTGTGTGTGTGTGTGTGTGAGTGGTCTTCACTAGTTAAAAAGGCTTATAAATCAGCCAAAATATGTTTTACATTTACATCTAATCATTTAGTAGATGCTTTTATCCAAAGCGACTTACAAATGAGAACAATAGA